GTATTACTGACCCTTTTTACCTTGTCTTCTTCTGGGGTGGACTCCCATTATGTTATATTGATATATTTGAAGGCATCCCATGTCTTTTTTTTCAAGATTCTCAAAGTATAGTCCTGAGGTCAGGAGCATCAGCATCACCTGAGTAGAAAGAAATATAAATACTCAGGCCTTAACCTGTCCTAAGTGTATGGGAATGAGCCCTACTATCTACCTATTGCTTAAAAGCCTGGTAAGCAAAAGTTTGAAAAACACTGGTTTTGACAGTTTTGAGTTTATTGATTTAGGTTAGCCATGCATCTTTTAACTAATTGATTAGATAATTAATTATAGTCACACTTATTGAACTATACTAAGTGATAAGCAACGGGAACATAATGATAAGATTCTTGCACTCAATGGATCATGTAGTGTTGCTAGAGCTCCAAATAAATGGGTTATAAATGGACATACAGCAGTGGATATACAGGCAAACAGCAATGTAGTTGGTGTTAGTTGTTGTGGGACCATAGAGGAGGAGCACTAGTTACAGACATTCATTCTAAAACTGGAGAAGTGTAAAGATTAGTTCTGGACTGAAGTGAGAAAAAGCCCATAGAACAATGACAGTTCAAACAAAGATGATTAGATAGTACAGTGGATGGCAGGGTGACGTTGAGCAACTTTCGAGATGCTCAGGAAAGATGCTCGCTTTCTACTCTGGCCCCTAAATCAAATACCTAAATCAAGTACATCTTTCACCTTATTAAAATGGAACTATTTGTGGAAATGATTACAAGGCAAGGTACGTGTCATTTATCATTTAATGTGAAAGAGGAATCTATGAGCAAATTTTAAAAATGGATAATTCCAAATATAGAGAGGGTTATTTCAGAAATCCCTATATACTTATAATTCCACTTTTGAACTAGTTGGTATGAGAAAAAATGAGATGTACATCAAGCTTTTGGCATAGATCCTTCCTTTCAGTAGACTTGCAGTAATTGTGCACTAATCAAGGTTCAATCAAAGAAGCAGAATCACTCACTAGAGGTTTATTATAGGGATTTGGCCTTATGCAACTGTGGGGGCTGTGTCCACAATCTATGTGAGGCTTCTGTCTTTGTGCCTGGATATAGAGCCAAAGTCAGCAGGATGAGTTAAATCTATATCACTGGCTAAAAGCCTCAGTCACATCTCAATGATGTGAGTTACTAGCAGAAGTGTCCTTGCCCTGGAGTCATGTAAATATACATTTGGCTCAGCATTTGGCATTTCTTAAATTGGATCATATGGGAGCTGGAGGAGCTCAAGGCCTGGCTGCTTTCCCATAGCAAAAAGGTCAACATCAGGTAAGTATGGGAGGTGCAAGAAAGTCTACTACCTTGTAGTGACCTTTACAACAAAGAAGAGGGCCCTCCTTAGGGGCACAACTGGTTAAAGCATAGCACTATGAAGCTATCTCCAACGCAGCTGGAGTTCCATCCCCTGCCAGGGAGGCAACCCACATGGCGTGGCAGACCTCTCCTGATACCCCTGCTTCTTCCCTCAGCAGTGTATTCAGTACATCTGCCTGTTCTGCTCCCCACTCTGTCTCTCTCATCCCCTGTACCTCTGGCCTGTACCCCAGTTCTGCATGCATAAATAAATAAGTCTTTAAAAAGAAAATAAAACATAAAAGAATGTGTCTCTAACTTCACTTTTGTCTTCCACTTCTCTAGCAAGATGTTTCTTGGGGTTCGCTAACCCAGAACTGTAGGGAAGGGAATTCAGAGATGTGCATTTTCTGTTATCTATTACTGTGTAACAAATTACCCCTAAAGTCACACATAAAACAGTAACAGTCATTTACTTAACCCCAAAATATGAAATTTGGGCAGGGCTAAGTGAGGATAACTCATCTGTGCTCCATCCATATAGTTTCTGCTTGGATGGCTCCAAAGATTGGTCAGAAGCTGATTGGGGCCTGGAATCATGTGAGGGTTCGTTCACTCCCACATCTGGTGGTTATTGCTAGCTGTCAGCAGGAACATGTGGTACTCTATGTGTGGTTTGTGTAGCATGGCAGTTTCATAGTAGCCAGATTTCTATTGGAGGTGTAGGGTTCTACAGTTATATGGTGAGAGAGAGAGAGAGACTTCATTTTGATTTTTGTCACTTGTTAGCTATGTTTAAGTTAAGTCATTTGCTCTCTTTGAACTTCAGTTCTCAAATTCTAAAAATCAGGACTTATTTTGAGGTTGTTGAGAAGAAAACCTTGACACAATAATTTGAGTGAATATAGTTTACTGGAGTTAATACCAGAAAATAACAGAAGGGAACTGGGAAGGGTACAGGAAAGGAAACTGGAGCTTAAAACCTCTGGGGAAACACTACGGCATTGCATCTGCGCTCAGTGCCATCTCACCCTGGTGTTGAGGGAGCTGGGGTATTCAAAAGTCAACTACCATCAGTCATTGGTGGCTTTGGGGGCTATAAACCCCCTACCACCTCTGGCCTGCTGATTTTGCTGCAAAGGGGAAAACTATCCCCTCTCTACTCCCTCCTTCCATCCTCCCCCGCCCAATGGATATAAATGCTGGAGGAAATTGAAGCAGGTTTGCATTGAAGAGTGAAAAGGATATGAGTAGAGCACTGAAAAGGGTTGCTCTAGAGAGTTGTTTTTTAAAGGCCTTTGGGTAATAAGATGATATACAAAAAAATCCGTTCCTGGTGCGATGAACTGGCTTTGTAACAGGGTGGTTCCTAGGAAAAGGGGAAGTTCCAGGTTCTGTGCCCCACCCGAAAGGAGGGTGGAGCTGAGCAGACAAAAAAAGGAGACTAGCTGAAGAGACAGGGATTCAAGGAGAAGAAAAGGAAGCTGGGTGAAGAACAAGGAGACCTGAGGAAGCCAAAAGGAGCAGCAAGCATGTGATGAAGAAACCGTGCTTGTTTCCTGACCATGGACTGGTTAAGGCAGATGTGGGTGAGATACCTGTAGGGGGGTGACTATGGGAGTGTTTATATTGATTTTGATTTTGCTCTTTTCCTCCCAGATTTGTCTGGCCATTTCTGACCCTTTTCCTTGGGTCCTGGCCAAGAAGGTGCTTTAGTCTTGTGTTGGGCTTTCAGGCCTTGCTTTGGGCCAATCCCTTTTGGGTTGACTTTTGCCCACGAGGGGTGCTTGATTTAGAAGTTATATTCTTTGTGTTCCGTATTGTATATTTACTGTATTAAAGTCCCTTTTCCTTAAAGTTTTATATGTTTTATCTTGACGCGGTGGATGGCAGAACCCACTTAGAGTAGTCAGGTTTGGGGTTTCTGGGGTGCCCCTCTCTCCCTGTCCTGAAACAGATTTGCTGCCCTGTAACAGATTTACTTTGTCATTCCCCATAGCAAGATTCAAGGGGCCCTAGTGCCTCTTGAGGAATGTTGACTCCCCTTCCACCAATGTAAACTTCCTAAAAGACAGTCCCAAGAGATAGCAATAACATAAATGGAGTATCCAACTTAGTGAACTTCAGGATTGATTTTTCTAAAATCTACCTACCTCTCTATAATCTGTCACCTTATGCAGACTTCACTGGTTATTGCTCATAACTGACTCTTACCTATATAAGGCTAGCTGCCTTTCTTTCTTTTTTTTAAGAGTATTTTGTTGGATAATATTTATTTATTTATTTATGCATAGAATTGGGGTGTAGGCCAGAATTGCAGGGTGTGTGTCTGTATTTACCAGAGACAGAGTGGGAAACAGAACAGGTGGATTTACTAAAATACACTGCTAAGGGGAGCAGCTGTGAGACAGGAGAGGTCTGCTGTGCATATGTGGGTTAGTTTCCCCCCCCCCCCCAGTCCCTCCCCTCAGGCCTTAGAAGTGGTAAGGCTAAGACAACCACTAGACACCCTGGCTACCTTTTATTTCAACTACCTACCACCCCCCAACACATGTACTCTGAACTCATGATATGGTGACATTGTCCAAGAATTGCTGCAAACCTGCCTTATTATGACTCTGGACTTCTAAGTTTGTAGTCCTTTCATAGTTAGCTACACATTTTTGAAAGATTTTGAGCAGTGGCATAATTTAAATATCTGAGAAGATAATTGTGTGCGGGATTAGAAGAGGAGATGAAAGAGAAAGTTGCAGTGTGTGTGTGTCTGTGTGTGTGTGTCTCTGTGTGTGTGAGATCACAACTTTGAAGTATACGAGATGAAAGGATCGGACTTTGCTTGAAAACCAATGAATGAATGGAAAGGAAGGGACAGATAAAGGCAAAACTTGAGGTCTTATATAAAATACGCAACAGTCTAGTGTCCTAATACTTGAGTCCGAGTGTAGGTTGCCACTGCCAACTTTACAATGTTCCTGGAGACTTACCCCATGGGAAAGAAGGGAATGGCACTATCCTTGCAAGGCTACAGTGGAATGATAGGACAGCACTTGCAGCTCATTTGGCATGGTGGCTGCAACAGGGTGAAGCGCGCCAATCCAGTTTTCTCCTTTATTCAGAAAAAGAAGAGGGAGATACTGCTATCCACATCCCAGTGGTTGCCATAAGTAGGGAGGCGAAGTACCCGGCATGTAGAAGGAATGCGTTCCCAGTCCGTCGCCTCCCATTGCCCCTACACCGGAAGAGACCCTGAGGAGACCAACCCAGCAGGGGAGCCTCAGAGCCTCCGCTCCCCCGCGGCCCACAACGCCCCTCTCACCCACCCACATCCCCCCCCACACCCCTCCACACCCCTCCTTCAGCCGTGCTCTGTTGCCGGGGCCCGAGCACCGCCCAGAACCACTGCGGACCAATGGCAGCGCTGCTAGGGCACCGCCCAGCTTCAGCGTCAGCCAATGGTGGCGCAGAAAAGGCACCGCCCTGATCCGCGCGGGCCTATAGTGGCGTGGCCCGGCCCGGAGGCCTCCCCTAACCGGGCGGGTAGGCGGTGACCGGCCCCGCCCCGCTCCCCTCTGACCCGGTGTCTCGTCTCACCGTCTTCCTGTTCCAAACCACGTGGACGCGCCGGGGGCTGCGGGGTTGCGAGAGGGAACCCCCGCCCTTACCGCTACAGCAGCCGCCGCAGCTGGGGTCTCCACCTCCACTCCAGTGCGAAGTCGCAGCGCCCCGGGCGCGCGAGCATTTACTGAAGGCGCGCACATGGCGACCCAGACGCACTCCCTCAGCTACGCGGGCTGCAACTTCTTGCGCCAGCGTCTGGTCTTGTCCACTCTGAGCGGGCGCCCAGTCAAAATCCGAAAAATTCGGGCCAGAGACGACAACCCGGGCCTCCGAGGTAACTTGGAGCGGGCAGCGCGCTGGGCTGAGGGGAGACGGAGCTGAAGCCCTATGGGCCGGCGCGCGGGTTATCTCCGGGTCCTGCGGCGCGTTGGGAGGTGTGTGGAGGGTCGCCCCTACCCCGGGAAGTGTCCGCGGGTTGGGGGAGGCGGGGTCGGGCCCTGAGGGGAGCGCTCAGCTGCGCTCTGCGCTGGCGTCTCCAGGCGCTAGTAGTAAACAGCTGCACGTTTTCCAGCATTACGTGTGACTAAAAAATATCACAGGCATCTCCCCACGCTTGCCTTTCTTTTGCTGTAAATCCCTCAAAGGAGAAAAACAGTTTCTTAATCCGAAATGTGGTGGGTGAATGGACAGATAACAATGATGGAGAGCGATTTGGAGAGAAAAGTATCACTGGGTGGTTCCGTGCCCTGCCCCATAACAGGTTTAGGAAGCAACTGCCCCCTGGACACTAGCGTCCCTGTCGCCATGATTTCTCGACTGCACTCACACATCTCCTTGGATGGATTCCCGAATTTTAAAAAATGCTGTTTGTTTTCAGGCGTGACTGTGATTGACGTGCGTATGACAGGGAGCTTTGGGATAAAATTTTAACAGCATCGACCCACTTGTCTTGACTTTAGTAAAAGGTGGTGAGAAGCGCTGAATTACAGTCCCGCAAGCTCCCCTTTTACCCTGCAAAGGAGGCTAGATTAAAAATAGGCCCCTTTAAAAAGGCTAGTTAAATGGCGGCGATTTTCAGCTGGCCCCCTGGAATATGACACACTTAAATGCTTCTGTCTGGTTATGCTAAATTAGGAGACTCGGTTAAGAAAACGGAAAACTTATCGGCAGATTGGAGAAGAGGGTTTGTGATTGGTTATGGACACTTTCTGGGTAACGTCGATTTGTTTAATTTTGCGCTGGCACTTGTGCTAGATGGCCAGCCCATTTCATCATCTAAGAAATTTTTTTGACAATTATATTTCTGCGTCTCTGAATGGGGATTGATTGCACATAGGGGACAATGCCATGTCATTGATGGAAAAGGAAAAGTTAGGAGGGAAAGAACCAGAAGACTGTCCACAATGTGGAGAGGAACCCCGAGAGAGGATAGAATAAGACAGGTTGGCCCATTGTTCCTGCCCTCAATCAACTGTTCCAGAAACACTGAGGAGGTTAAGGAGAGATGGTTCGCATGGTTTATGTCCAGTGTTGTTCTTAACATCTCTTGCTTTATATTGAATTTGGCCTTTGGGCAAAGGAATTGCTTGATTGCTCTACTCTGAGGTATTACCTTAACCCCAGCTCTCACCTTAATACCCAGATTATCCCAGAGAACTTTCCCTAACTGAATATGGTAAGAGGACAGATTTCTATGAACATTAGACAGCTTTTTTTTTTTTTGAAAGGTGTAGAAGTACTTTAGATGGGTTATTTCTAAATAATTAGGGATTGGCTTTCAAAAAAAGGGTTTCTAAAAGAGATTCAATGCTGGTGAGATACAATTTAGTGTTTGCTTCTAGAGAGGTGCCCCAAACTAATGTTTAACCTTCTAAAGAATACTTCCCTCTCTTCATTCATCACTGTAAGCATCTCTTCTTTGTCCCACTTTGTTCACTTCCAGTGAAGTGACTTGGCACTTCACTGGAAAGGATGCCAGACTCTAGTGCCTATGGGGCAGTAATACTTGTTGACAGATGTGTTGGCATTTCGTGAGGACCACTGTGTAGAGCATTATTTGACTCACATATTAAACAGAGGGATAAAAAGAGACTTAAGTTAGACTTCCTCATGCCAACTTAAGATCTTAGGAATCTTGTAGGTGTTTACTTAATTTCTGGATGTATGTATATCGGTGAATTCATAGATTCATATGTGTATGTATTTATGTGTATACTATAAATATGTATGTATGCATTTATATATACATAAGTACATCTAACCCCTGACAATATGTGGTCATAGCCACATATTGGTAGTTTGATTGAAGATGTAGCTGTTTGTGGGCCCTCCCTGGTGGCACAGCCGGTTAAAGCAAGGGGAGCACTAGGAAACTATCTACAGCCAGTGCAGTAGGAGTTGAATTCCCAGTCAGGGAGCTGACCCACATGGCATAGCAAGCCTCTCCAGAACCTTCCCCTGCTCCCCTCAGAAGTATATTTCAGTACATCTGCCTATTCTGCTCCTCACTGTGTCTCTGGTAAATTCGCTCACTCTCTTCTGCACCTCTGGCCTGTACCCAGTTCTTGTAGCATAAATAAATAAATCTTAAAAAAAAAAAGATGTAGCTGTTTTGCTCTTTTACCAGTCATCTATCTTTCTGACTCCTCCTGACTCAGAATCTCTTGAGTGAAAAAACTCAGAACATACCCAATAAAATCTTCAGCTTAAATATAAGAATTACATCTCTTTAAGGAACTTGCTTAAACATCTGTCCTGGTGTAGGCTTTGGAGGGTGGGTGTGGTGCCGAGGCCTTGTGCCTCAGGAGCATCATTCAGAAAAAATTATGAAGCCCCCAAGTATGTGCATGACTCTGTAGGCATATAAATGTGAGAAAGTGGTTGTCCTGCTTTCAAGTAACTTCCTAAGTAGCAAGAAATTGAGTAGCTTGGGTATCTTGAAGTAGGAAGACCGAGTGCTGTAAAGGGGCTTGGGGGAATTAGAGAATTCCTAGGAGGAATTGTAGGAGGGCTCTCTGGATGTGTCTGATCTGGACAGACAGGATTGTAATAGTGATTTCAAGAATAGAAACCCTAATCTTGGCATGGTCATACTTGTTCAGAGTTTGTTGTCTGAGTGTTGGTTCTGCCTTTTGTAATTAGTTTTTTGACCTTGGGCTAAATCTGTAATAATTTTGAGCATCAGTTTTGCACCTATCCTTTGGGTTCAGTATTACTGGTTTCATATGGGTATTGTGAGGAGAACTTGGAATGCTTCAGAGTGCACTGAACAGTGTGGCCTGTCATGTATGAAGAATAAATATTAGCTGCTTTTGTTACTGTGTAAGTTCTGTCCACTGGATAGAATTCTGCTCTCAGGCACCCAGAATCTGTTTCTGTTTCTATGTGGAAATGTTCCAGATATTGTAAGAGAAGGATGCTTTTTTTCAGTTTAAAGTTTCTCCTTCAGTAAAGTTGTGTCTCTCAAATATTTGTATGCTGTATGTATAATGCAGTGGTTCTAATCTAGGGCATTTTTTCTTTCTTGGGAACATTTGGCCATGTTTGGAATTTTGCTTCTTCACAACAGTAGGCCGATCTGGTGGGTATACTGGACAGCTCCCCACACAAAGAATTATTCTGTCCAAAATATCAGTAGTGCTGATTTTGAATATTTGGCCAGTGGACTTAATCATTAAATCTTTCCCCTGTATCCTTAATAGTTGGGAATAGCAGCTGTTTTACCAAGAAAATTGTTTAAGGATTCAGAGTGGGATGAGACACAGGTCATACTGACTTCAGGCATATCAGTTAATATATAAAGCTACCTCCTTCCAACACAGAGGTTTTGTAAGTAATGAGAAGAATCTGAACCCCCCAAAAAATGATCCTGGAAGGGTTTTTATTTATCAGTCAGTCATGTGTATAGTTTTTTTTTTTAAGGTTTAATTATTTATGCATAAAAGAGCTGGGGTATAGGCCAGGCCAGAGATGCAGGGTGGGGGTTGAGAGGATTCACCAGACACAGAGTGGGGTACAGAACAGGCAGACTGACTAAAATACATAGCTGAGGGGAGCAGTGGTTGAGATAGGAAAGGTCTGCTGCACCATGTGGGCCACCTCCCTGGCTGGGGATGGAACTCATGCTACAGTGGCTTCAGTTAATTTCATAGTGCTGTGTCTTAACCCCTGCACCACCAGGGAAGCCCCCTACACGTGTAGTTTTTGCTTCACTCTTTAGAAACAGAACATTTATGTTGTCTTATCAGACTTTTCTGTTAGTAAGGAGTAAATATTTTTGTTGTTGCTATTGTGTTACTGAAAGTAAAAAAACCTGAAAATATAGCTAAGTAAGAAGTTGATTATCACTAAGTAGCAGGACTGGAAAGAGACTGCGGCCAAGGTCCAGTCTGGAGGGCCTCTTCTTATCTAGTTGTATGGTATGATTTGGGTGTTCTTCAATATATGATAATCTTGGATTTCATAAGGGCTGTTTTTCCATTTTAGGCTGAGTTAACAATTTCTGGGTAAGATGAGGTTCAAATGCAAAGAGTTCCATGAAAAAGATAACTGTTTAAAGTTGAAAATGGAAACCAGTGGACTTGGGGAAGAACAGATTTGGCAGTTAGGACATGGGCTGGTCACACTACTAAGCCTGTTTATTGGACAGAGGAGTTGTGTGGTCCTGTGGGAGTGCTGCCCGTGGCTTAAGCAGACGACATTATCCATGAAGTTTTAAATCAGAAGAGTCCTTTACAATATGTATGTAGGTCCTCGATGGGGTCACAAGGGGTTAAAGCACAGCACTATGAAGCTGTCAGCAGTCACTGCAGCACAAGTTTGATCCCCTGACAGGGATGTGATACACATGGAGTGGCAGACATTCTTGTCTTGCCTGCTGCTCCCTTTAGCAGTGTATTTCAGTAGATCCACCTGTTCTCCCCATTCTGTCTCTGGTGAATCCTTTTACCCCCTGCATCTCTGGCATAATTCTTGTATGCATAAATAATAAATCTTAAAATAAAAGTATGTTTGTGAAGGGAACATGTTCCATAGAGATCTTTTCAAAGGTAAAACATCTTTTGGTAAATGGGTGCATTGCTTTGGGGATAAGTTTCACTGCTCATAAATTGTAAAGGAAAACTGGTTTTTCTCTTCTATTTTGATACCACATGTGTGTTCTGCACAATTCTTCTACTATACAGGCATTCCCTCCACAGCAGTTCTCTAGTTCTAAACAGACACTAATTTGTTGTTCTACAGATGAAATTCAATTCTGACCCTTACCTGTGTGGCAGTAGCATCAGATCCCA